GGGGGGTGCAGGGCAGGGGGCTATGGCTAGAGAGGCTGCAGGTAAGGAATTTGGGGGTGTAAGATCAGGCCAGGGGGTTAGGGAGGTAGGGAGGCTCCAGGCAGAGGATTCGGGGGTGTGGGGTTCAGGGCAGGGGGCTATGGCTAGAGAGGCTGCAGGTAAGGAATAGGGGGGTGTAAGATCAGGCCAGGGGGTTAGGGAGGTAGGGAGGCTCCAGGCAGAGGATTTGGGGGTGTGGGGCTCCGGGCAGGGAGTTGTGGTTGTGGGAGGGGCTCCAGGTAGCGGATTTGGGGGTGTAGGATCAGGGCAGGGGGTTGGGATGTAGGGGGAGCTCAGGGCCGGCAGCGTGGCCACTGCTCTGCCTGGCCGCTGGATCCCCGGGGCTGCGATCCCCATCCAATGCTGAGCAGCTGCTGCGCTCCACCCCAGAAGTGGCTGCCCCGGCCAGTCGCCACCAGAGGTCGGGGGGGGGGGAGAGAGTAGAGGGGGGGGCTTGTGGCCTGTTCCCATGGCAAAAAACCGCCTCCTTCTCCTCCTTGCCTCCGTTAGCCAGACGGTCGCACAGAATCCGGCGCCATCACCGCCACCGCCACAACCACCAGCACCACCACCGCTCCCGCAAGGAGCGGAGAAAACACCGGAAGCAGCTCCAGTTGGACTGGATGGAGGAAGGCAACTACTTCTAGAGGCCAGTGACGAGCAAGCACAAGATCCCCCCTCTCCCCGCCCCGGGATGAGACGGGCACGTGTGTGTGATGGGAAAGCGGGGCCTTCACTGACCCCCGGCCCCTTTTCTAAGCCCCTCTGCGTTAGTTCCTTAGGACACCCCCGACCAGGCAGCAGGACGGAGACGGTTCCCCTCCCCAACTCTGGCTCCTCCGCTGGGCTCCTTAGCCCGGGTCCCACTGGTCTTCTGCAAGGGAGACTCCGGTTTTTTAATATACCCCCCTTTCCTTTTACCCTCCCTGCCAGGGCCCTTCTGCCGCTCCTCTCCTCCGGTGGGCGTTATCTTCTCTTCCTCTCGGAGCCAGTGGTACCCTGGCTGGCTAGACGTGCAGCGGCCCCGGCAGCAGGGGTGAAAGTAATTTCTTGCAGGTCCTAGTGTCCTATTGCAACCCGGACCCCCTGCCCGCTCTTTCAATAGCCCCCTGCTGGCTTTTGCCACGGCTCAGACCGCGGCCGGGGCGCCCCCGCAGCCTTTGTCCTCCGCGCAGCAGCGAGACACGTTCCCGCCCCCAGCACCGCAGGTTCGAAACCAACGTCCTTTCTAAACGCGCCGCTCCCGTGCGAGCCCACGGGATCTGCCCGACCGGCCTGGGAAAACAAAGCGATCGCCGCCACCGGTGGCGTCCAACTCACCCAGCGTCTCGGAATCCCTCCCGTTCCGTCTGTCTCCCTTGTATTTGCTGTCTTCGTTCCCACGGGGCGAGAGGTAGAAAGACCAGGAGGAGCAGGTGTCCCTGGGTATCCAGGGCGGCTTTGGCGTTGGGGCGCCTCTCGCTCAGGGTTGCCAGGTGTCTGGTATTCAACCGGACAGTCCGGTTTTGGGGCCCTCTGTCCGGTAAAAAAAGTTCAGAAAATACCAGACATGTGCAGTGTCCGGTATTTTCTGGTTTTCCGGCTGGGCGCCCGACGGAAGCCTGGTGGGGGGGAGGAGCTGGGAGGGGGGCGCGATCGGCGCTGGGAGCCTCTGGTTGGAGTGACGCCTGGGGGGAGGGGAAGCCCCGTCTGTGCTCCTGAGCGCTGGGCAAGCGCCTTGTGCAGCCGCAGCAGAACTCACTGGCGCTGCGCCAGGACCGTGTGCGGAACAGGCAGCGCCCTCTGGGCGCCCGACGGAAGCCTGGTGGGGGGGAGGAGCTGGGAGGGGGGCGCGATCGGCGCTGGGAGCCTCTGGTTGGAGTGACGCCTGGGGGGAGGGGAAGCCCCGTCTGTGCTCCTGAGCGCTGGGCAAGCGCCTTGTGCAGCCGCAGCAGAACTCACTGGCGCTGCGCCAGGACCGTGTGCGGAACAGGCAGCGCCCTGGGATCTGCACATGCCCGGCTACGTCCCGCTCCCGGCCGGCCGATTCGCTCCCCCAACCCTCCCGGC